ACATTGAGGTGGTGTTTAGGGAATGGAACATTTTGAAGATTCGGGTCCTTGTGTAGTTTTGGCCAGTCCCGGTATGCTTCAAAATGGTCTTAGCCGGGAACTTTTCGAGAAATGGTGCACAGATGCAAAAAATGCTTGCATCGTGGCTGGCTACTGTGTCGAAGGAACTCCTGCCAAGGTGCGATTTCCATAGTATCTTTATATCTATAGCAAGCTTAATTTTCAGCATATACTCTCCGAACCTGAAGAGTTCGTAGCGATGAACGGTGACCGTCTGCCTATGAGACTACAGGTATCTAGTCTTATTTGAGCTCTGTACTAAATTGTATATGCTATTTTAGGTTGGGTATATCTCATTTTCTGCACACACAGATTTTCAACAAACACTCGCATTTGTCAAACAGCTCAAACCTCCACATATGGTAAGTATATCCTACAATTTTTCAAATAAAATTGTTAATTGGAAATCTGTTTAGATTCTTGTTCACGGTGAAATGCACGAAATGAGTAGGCTAAAAGCAGGGATTCTACGAAGCTTTGAAGAGGAGAACATGTCGATTGAGGTACGCTAGCAATTGAAAGGAAGTGAAAATTTCTCTCCTGGAATTTTTTTCCGCATGTTCCGCATATATTCATTTTGTTCTGCGTTTACAGATACACAATCCTCGCAACACAGACACAGTTCGACTGCAATTTCAAGGTGTAAGAAAGGCGAAGGTGGTCGGCTCATTAGCAATAAAATCCAACAAAGTGCGTTGCAATCCTCATGTAATTTCTCGAGTAAATTTAATTTTTAGGTTGGCGACGTAGTTAGTGGAATTTTGATCAAGAGGAATTTTAATTATCAAATTGTTGATCCTAAAGATCTCACAGGTGTGCATGTGGTATACTTTTTTCAGAACGTTGTCTCTAATTTTTTATTTAGTGTTCACGGATCTATCATCATCTCGTCTTTCTCAACGACAGTCCGTGTACTATTCTGGAAGCTTGCCGTTGCTCTTGTACAGCTTGAATCAACTAAATGATGACGCTATATTGA